CATCAGTATTATACCAGTATGACTAAACTATCTCACACTGTGGTCTTACGTGTTACTGCTTACGTTTCATTCGTGATGAGGGGGGGGATAATATTGCCCCTCTTTCATGCTTCACGCTATTGTTTTCCTGAGTCGTGGGTCCTTCAATCAACCGTCAAGTATCGTAGAGCTAGTCAATGACTGCGCAGGCCAGTATCGTCTAGTTTTGAGCGAAGCTTCTTATATATAGGGTTATTGGTAGATTCTAGTCGATGACGTACACATATCAGCAATTAAAACTAAGTGTTTTAGTTAGACAAACATGTAGTTTGCTATTCTTATTAAGCTTCTACTTTTAGAAGCAAAATTTTTGTCCGTCAATCTTAAGAAAAATAAGAACAAATCTATATTATTTTGATTCAAATTAGTTTTTAGTGGAAGGTAACAATTAATTATTGCATATCTTGTCTTCAATTCCTTGGCTTAGAAAAATTAGTTTCTCCATCCACTAAAAATCAATAATTTTTTATAAGTTTTGTGTAATTATATTCTGAAAATTATTTGCGTAATATAATTGTTAAATTTAATTAAACTCAAATCAATGTGGATCTAAAGTGATTCTAAACAATAATTTTCAGAGTTAGTTTTTCAAAATTTAAGGATAAATTAGTGATCTAAAGTGAGTCCAAATAATTTTTTTTTTTGCTGGGTATACCGAACCGCTTGCATGAATTTCAGAGTTATGCACCCAAATATGTGACTAGCAACCAAGTTAATAATTGTAGTTCAACTTTGCGTTATCAAATGTATAAAAAACAGAAGAAATTAAACAACAAAAAAAGAATAAATCAATGCGGAGTTATCCCATCATAACCTACTATTCTTTATCAGTATAAAAACAGAAAATAATGCTTACAACTTTTATAATAGTTTTATTAAAAAAAAAATTTCTTTCTAAGCAAAATGCTTTAAAAAATTGTAAAAAAGATGTCCCAAATGAAGCCTATATCCATAAACATTACTTCCTCACTCAAACTTCTTTACACCAGCTACATAAGCATGATTTTCTTCCCCTACTTATAAAATGAAAATTTTCTTTGGTAGTGTTAATCAATTGTTTTACAAAAGTATGTTCCATTCAAATGTTTGTATTTGACTAACAAAATTAAACTGCTTAACGATATAATATATCCTATCTATTTCAAATAGTCAAAGTTTCTATTCAATTATTATATATGCGATTGCTCTTTTACAGATTTGATATGGCTTAGATCCTTCATTATCATTTTGACATTAATCTTAATACAAATATATAGAAGTATTTAGGCTGATGAATACATAAACTACATACATATTCAATAGATCTGATTGAAATATATGTAGCTTCTCATATAAATGCAGGTTATATAATTCAAAATCACAAAAGATTTGTACTAAACATTGACATAATATAGCTACAATCACAATCAACTATCTTCATTCTATAATCTTATTCACATAGAAAACATACTCTACAAACAAGACTTTGATAACGGCAATTTATTAATTTTTTGGTTAAATCTGTGTTGTATCCGTTATATCAACTTAATCACCATCTCTAATTAGACATTAAGAATCATGTCATCTTTGACTTTCTGATAATATTTTTATCTATTTTGACTTAAATATATTTATAATTTTTTTAATTTATTTTTTGAAGATTTTTAATTTTATATATTTATTTTGTATTTTGTGTTTGCCTTATGTTTACTAAAATTTGCGTTAATATATTTATTTTGTGATATGATGTTTGAGATAACATCATAATTTTTTTTAAAAACGCCTATGCCTGTCCCAAGCCCAGATGAAAAAGGTTGAGGGTTTGTTTTTATTATATTTTATTATGAGGCTTTGAAATGTCTTATTGCAACCATCAACCTTAATTCTGATCGGCTGTAAAGTTACTGCTTTTCAAATGACTATATAATTATCAAACATGCTGAGCTCTCTTTGTTTTTCCCATAAGGATTTTACCTACTGCTTCATCCGTGTTCAATGCCTCAAGGTTGAGCATTTCATGAAATAATGTTTGTGCATTTAATCAAGGTAAGAAAGCTTCGAACTTAAAAGAGTTTATTTTCATTTGAAAATTTCATCAAAATTATTAGTATCATAATGCTTAAACTTTAATTTAGTTTAATTGTTTTTTAACCTACTTTTGTATAGCAACGCTTGGCTTGTGTAAGGTGACACTTCTAGAGTTACTCCATATAGTGTTTTATAACCATGTTCTGCTAAATTAATTTGCTAAACACGTTATATTTTTTATCTTTGTTTATTCTATTTTTTAGTTCTGTGTTTACTATTTTTACTGTTCAAGTTTCTTATTAAGTAAAAATTAGATGGTTAGCAAGTGATCTTGTTCTCACATAAGAGGATCATGAGTGTATAAAGGAAGCAAAATTTCAAGCAGGACATTCTCGAAGAGATTGTATGGCTAATGTTGCACTGTCCAATGACTATTTTGAATGCAGAGATCGGACTACCATTTGTTAAGGCTGGCTGGTATCCCTTTCCAGTCGTATCTCTTCAGTCTGTTATCATTAACTATGCACCCTGTAACAATTCTTCATCACTTTTGTCACAAAAATCCAACCTTAGGCATAAGTTTTCATAGTTATATCAAGGTAAGATGGCCTGCAACACGGATCTTCTTCCCAGTACGTGCATTAAAATGAAATTAGATTCATCTTATTTTTCTTTAAACTATTTTTGTGGTTGTATGGAGGGGAAGTTTAATTCTATTTCCAATTGTTGAACTTGTATGCAATTATGCATGATTTGCATCTTATTCATACTAATTTGAAGTCAGAGAACATTCTTGTTATTTCTTAATATTATATAAATTTGTCCAATCGTAATGTATTTTTGTTATATTTTCTTTTCTCATACCTAAATTAAAAGAAAAATTATTTATTGTTTGATAAATGTTAAATTATATACTTAATAAATCATGTTTTGTTCATTTCTTTGCATGAACTGTTGAAATTTTCATTTTCTTTTATTAGCTCAATTTCTCAGCCACAACATGAGATTACCCAAGTCAAGTGTTGTAAAGGAAATTGATTTTGGAAGCATAACTTATGATAGCCAACATCACACTTATATTGTATCAACATGACACTATAGGGCTCTTGAAGATATATTAGGTTTGTTCAAAACTATTATGGTTATATTCATCCTCTTGTTTTATTGCTTGTGTGATTTGGTTATAAGTTATAACTCTTCTCCTATGAAATAGAGCTGGGATGGAGTTATATAACTCTTCTCATACAAACATCAAGGAATTCTTTTTTCAGGAAGTTTCAAAATTCATTTATGCATTATAGTTTGGCTTATATTTTATTATTATATTACTCATTACTTGTAGATAATCAACGTATAACTTCAATCCTTCTGTACGAAAGCATGAAAGTGAGGTTTTTTGCCTCGATTTTGCATATTGTACTTTACGGAACACATTTAGTTAATCTATATGATGTGTATATAGAAACGCCTAGCAGATTCTTTCGCCTTTATGTGGATAAAATAGTATTCTATTCATTTCATGTTAGATTTTGATTCCTAAATATTGTGATGGGTTAAAAGAAGCATGATCCTACATTTTTTTAGTCAAAACATATTTAGGAGACTATGGGTTCTTACTTCTATATTTCATAATGTACAGTAATGAGGTTAGATATATTTCTTTTATCATACTGCAACTATTTTCATGATATTTGCTTTTATTAAATTCAAATGCTCTTTTGTTGGTTGTCTATCATACTCCATGTTTCCAATTCATAAAGTTGCCTTATTGAGCTATGTTCACTTTACAGTCATTGGAGATGTTAGAGTCATCGTACTAATGCTTGATGTGGAACTTGTCATTGATAAAAAAAATAACTTCGGCAAAGAGGAAGCAAGTTTTTGTTATTTTTCTCACTCAAAACAAGATTATTATTAGTTCATTATTCCATGTTCCTATTTCATTAAATTGATAACTAGCTTCCTGATTGCAAATTTCCTGGTTGATGCATTGGACTATACCATCTCGGGCATCTCCACTATTTGAGATGTTCCTTGAATTGGAAATAATAGAGCTTCGATATTGGCTATGGATTTCTATCATCGAGCATATTGTAATATCTTCACTATGATGTTTATGTGTTTATCTAAGAAGGTTAAATATTATATATATATATATATATATATATATATATATATACATGTTCTCTTTCTAAAATACAAAACATGTTTTCTTATTCATTCATTGCGTCTCGTGTTGCTGAGGTGTACTGCCTTCAAAAATCCGAGTGTGACATGTAGCTATGGTTGCCAGGTGGCAAAGATGTTTGTCGGCTAATGGAGAAGGATATATATGATAGAGGTTGTTAATAGCTGTCATTGATGATGGTGGTAGTGGATATATATATATAAATACATGTTCTCTTTCTAAAATACAAAACATGTTTTCTTATTCATTCATTGCGTCTCGTGTTGCTGAGGTGTACTGCCTTCAAAAATCCGAGTGTGACATGTAGCTATGGTTGCCAGGTGGCAAAGATGTTTGTCGGCTAATGGAGAAGGATATATATGATAGAGGTTGTTAATAGCTGTCATTGATGATGGTGGTAGTGGGTGGCGACTGGCTGTGGTGTTCATGATTGATGGTGGTTGTTTGTGACAATGGTGATTTGTGGTGGGTGATGATGGTTGGTGGAGAAGGTGGCAACGAGGGCGATAACAATGACAATAAAATTATGATGTATTTTAAAATGGTCGAACTTAGAGGAATTCTAAATTCAACAAATTTATATTAAAGATACACTTTAAATACATAAAAATTTTATAGTACATTTATTTTAGCTAAAGTCAGACAACACTGTTCTTAACCCTTAAGATGTAGAATACTTTAAGCAAATTCTACTTCAAATCAAACAACCGCTTAATTTTTAACATGCTAGTGTAATTAAATTAGTAGTTAAAATCGGGATGTTTATGCAATTTAGTTCAGCTTGCACTTAATCGGCTCGATATCATTCTGCAGTTCTTGGCAGCATGAGCGGAAAGCGCCCTCCTCCGGACCCGATTGCCGTCCTCCGCGGCCACCGATCCTCAGTCATGGACGCATGCTTCCATCCCTCCCACCCTCTTCTTTTCACAGGGTATTACGTTTCCCGCTCCTCTCTCTCAATAAGTTTTTACTCTTTTTGGTTCCGCAGAAAGTAAAAAATAAAATTCCCTAACCCTTATTCCATTGCTTGGTGGCGTAGTGCGACTGATGGTGAGCTCAGAGTTTGGGATACGGTGCAGCACAGAACGCTTTCTTCTACGTGGTGGGTATTTTCTTCAATTCTTTCAGTTGCTTACAGTTTCGCGTTCTGATGTTTTTCTTGGCTTGGTAGGGCTCATGGCGGTGCTGCCGGTGTGTATTGTGTGGCGACGAGTGCGTCTCTAGGAAATAGGGTCGTGAGGTGTCTTTGAGCATTTTGATTCCCCATTTTTTTTTTCTTTTTTCTTAGTGATTTTGAGGTGTTGAAAATTTTGCTTTGGAATTTAGTCAGGGCAGAGATGGCACTTGTAAATGCTGGGAGATTGAAGAAGGTGGCCTCTCCAGGTACCAAGGTTTGCCTGATATTATAGATTTCTTTGAGGAGTGTTTGTTGAAATATTACTAATTTGTGGTTTCATATAGAGTAGATTCAAAAGAATCCAATCATAAAGTTTATGGAAAAACCAATGAAATGAAATCTGGATACGTCGCAAAAAATTGCCTTGATAGGGAACGAATCTACATGTCTATTTAAATTGGAAGCTTTCAAAATTAAATTCACGAACATACAATCTCCAATTTTAGCAAACTTATGATCGAACTAAATGCATCAACAAGACAAACCCAATGACACAAAAATAAATCCAATTCGAGCATGAATGAGCCCAAATCAAAGGCCTAAAGTGCAATTCAAAATTTTAATACATTAATTGAATGAGAAAATGATATTTAAATTTAACATGCTTATAATCGAATCAAGTGGCTTGACGAGACGTATTCAATGAGCTCAATATCATTTAATTTCGACATTATTAAGATGCTAAAATGCTAAAGAAACGATCTATGATTGAGGTAATCAATATAGGTCTTCAGTTCGAGTTTTTCAAAATTTGGGCATATTTACTGGCATGCCACCCTAAAAAATTTATGAATAGGCCCTTACTCCCTATATAAGAGGAGATGAGCTTGGAGCTATAAGCTTGAACTTTGGTTTGAGATTCAATAGAGTTTTGTTCCAAGGACCTCGGAGCACCACTGTCGGGCCACAACCCGATATTTGTCGTCGAGTCTTTGCCAGCCAACTACTATGATGCTCGGATCACGATCAGTAGATTACAGTGCTTGGACCACTGTCGCCCGAATATGATCTTTTGACCACCGTCGCTTGCCAAATGTGATCCTATTACCTTCATCGTCAATTAAGATCCTCTGGTCCTCAAATTTTTGTCGACCATTAACCATGGTCATTCTAACATTTGTTGCTTGCTAACTACAATCCTTCAACCATTGTCACCTGACTACTATCCTTCGACTTCCGTCGCTTGACAATGACCTTCCATTATGCGTTGCCCGCCAACTATAGTCCTTTGACCTCCATTGTCCGCCGACTATGATCCTATGACCTATGTTGCCTGTTCACGATGGTCCTTCAATCATCGTCGTCCGACTATAGTTCTCAAACCACCATCGCCCTTACTATAGCTGTTCAGATCACCGTCACTCGCTAAGCACCATCACCTAACTATGGTCATTCGGATTATCTTCACCGTCTAATGACCATCACCTGACCACAATCAACTGACTATGGTCCCCTGACCATAGTTAATTAACTACGGTCCCTTGACCACAATCAATTAAATACGGTCCTCTAACCACCATCGCCTGACTGCAATCTTAAAACTATCTTTACTTGATTACGGTCCTTCCGACCTCCATCGTCTGTATTGCCTACCGACTACAATTCTCCGAGCACTGTTGCCCGATTATGGTCCACTGACCTACAAACTCCTAACCATTTTTGATTGGCTACTCTAAGACCTATTGATTTCATCAGTTACTATTCTTGATAATGCCAATTGCCAACACACACTGTCACTTATAAGATTCATGCATGTAATCGACCTCAAGTCTAACTCCTAACTCCAACAATTAGATTTGTGCTGAATTCTTGCCAAAGTGCTATTTGAATCCAACCAACTAAAATGTTTCTTTACGGTGCATCAATGGTTTCCCCCGAGGAAGGGCTTATTTGTGGTAAAATGCAAATACTAGCGGAATCACTTTAATTGGGCCAGACCCAATGGTTTTCCTCTTTCTAGGATTTTTTTATGTAAAAAATTTGATGTTATTTACAAATTTTACACTCTTACACTCCTCTCTTATCCATGCGTGTGTTGGATCTTCATGCAAAGCTAAACGTTAAACTCTATATCTCTCTATCGCCACAAATATTTTTGGCATGCAATATTTTGGCGCTATCTGTGAAAAATAATTATTGGTTGGGGACAACCTTTGCTACACCCTGGAAAGATCATTCACATCAATGCCTCGGGCATAGTTATAGCAAGGCAATCCCTTTACCATGAACTATTTTGTTGGTTCCGAAAGAAGTATTCCAAATTTGAGGACAACCCTATATTCGACTGAACATTGCTCTATGCATGATTTTGTTAGATAACCCCCCTTAATTAATCCACTGCTGCATAAACTTATTGGGAAGTAGAATTGGACTGGAGGGCAACTTTAACTGTAATCTCAAAGGAGTATTTCTGTTGACATCTTAAACATGACTGTACTCAAGCTAGTACCTCCATCATTTTCTATGCATCTAAGGCAATCTTGTTGACAACCATTTTTTATAAATTTGTTACCAAATATGAGAAACTTTTCAAGAAAAATTCAAAGTGAATCTCAACTTTTATGTAGTCCTTACCATGACTTTTATTCCTTAAGGGCAAATATAAACTGAGGATTCATGAAGCTGACCTTAAAGAGTTGAGATAAGGCTAATGTTTTTGATGGTGATATATAGGCAAATCAGTTAATTTACATCTATAGCTACAGAATTACTATAATTACTTAATCTTGGTTTCAATTAGAATCACGATTTTGTTGATATCATGTTATTATATTGTATTGTTGTTTATATCATGATCATGTATTTTGCAGAAAGCCCTTAATATCATTTAGGACGAGCGCGTATCATTTTTGTAAGCTTTCATTGGTGAAGACTTTGACTTGTGTTGCACCAACCTGCCAAACTTCTCGTTATAAGCCAGCATTTGATGGAGCTGAGCCTGACATCAATTGCGATCTACAAGAATCTGTTAATAGATTCTGCGGAGAAGAATCTGTTCAAGGTTCAGGTGAATGCATTTTGATGACTGTTTGTTTGTGTAGCCGAACTGGCAATTTTTAAACCTAATTTTTTCTAATATAAACAGTAGTATATTTCATAAGAAGCTGATGCTAAGATTAGCTCTTCTATTGTACTTCGTGGTTCTGACAATCAGTTTCAGGAGCTTATCATTTATCATCTATTCATCACGATGCTTGTAAAAAGTATTGCATCCTATAGACAGCTTTTTATGGTGTCTAATTCCCTATATGATCCTATTCTTCATCAAAAGCTTAAATTTTTCTTTACAACTTATACGAATCCTAGTATTTAGAATTCAAAATACGAACTTGGTACCTTGAAGATATCGTGGTCTCACTCTCCATCTCTAAAGTTATCATACTGAACCTGTATTGGACATACAATCTGTTGCTGTTGAGACTTGACAAATTCTTACTAGTTGGATGATGAAGGCCACACAGGCTCCTGGATGCTAGTTCTCCAAAGATGACAATGAAGAGCATGTAATATGAATGATTCAAGGAAGCTTTGAAAGGGATGAATCCTACGAGAAAATTGTCTTCATAAGGCCTGACCAGTATTTATATGCTTAAGTTAATGTGAAGGAGGTGAAGTGCCCTTTAAACGAGTTTTATGTATGGAATTATGATTCTTTTTGGAGATGAAATGCCTGAGTTGGATGAAGAGAATATAATCTTTCCCTTTCCAAAATGACCCTTTTTCCCTTCTCTGATATATCCTTATGAAAATGCAAGTTGAAGGTTGTTTCATGAAGATGCTATATAATAGTTATAATAAGCATGGGCTTCAAAGAGAGCCTGCGATGTTGCTATAGATGATTGAGCGTAACTAATTAAGGCACTCTATAAGGCCGTCGAAATTAATGGAAGACAGACCAAATGCATTTGTCCCAAAAATTTGAATGTGGCTTCCAACAAGATTTATTTTAATCATGGTGGTTAAGATTTCCTTAAAAGAGCAAGCTTCCTTAGTTAATTTGATTATCAATGGTTCTTTAGATCCAATATGGCATAGCCTATCCAGTTGTAGTTCTATGAAATTTGTCTTTAGGCTTAAATGAAATTCTCTAAGAACTGTTTGTTTTGACGTAAGGCGTAAGTATTTGTTGTTGAATTATAATTCTGGACATTAGGCATGAGATCAACAATCAACGTAAGTATTTGGAATTGTTTGTTTTGACATTTCGCAACTATTTTTACCTATGACGTCTTAGGCCTTTGGTACTGCATTTTCTTGTGGGCACTATTGCAGAACTTTACTAAGGATTATTTCATAGTTACATGGCATTTTTTTAAGGTTATTTTAGAAGGAGATCTTAGAGGCCAGGCTTGGAGGAATGGTTTGATTAATTCCATTGTGATTTTGAGGTCACATCATTGAATAACCAAAATGGCCTCTCAATAATGCAGGGGTAAGGTTGCATAATCAATCTGCCCCTAGACTCCATGGGAAAACTCCTGCACTGCTTATGTTTTTATTTCTTTATAAAGAGACTTGGACCTTGAAATTTTGCTTTCTACTAACTATTTACGAGTTTGATTAGACTGCTTGGTCACTAATGGGCCAGTGCTGATGGCCTCAGCAGGAGAAGCAAACCAGGTGATTATCAAACTTTTTGTTTAAATGAGCGTTCTTCTTATTCTTAAAAATTGAAATAAAATCCATTAAAGGAAATTAAAAAAAAAGGCTGAAGAGTGACTCACTTGTATCACACTACAACTTATTCTGACTTGTTTTTTTGGCGGAACTTTCTGGCCATAACAGATTTAAACTTTATGTAGGTTGAACTTTGGGATCTAAATGAGGCTAAAAGGATAATGTGCTTGCCACATATTTCTAGTTCAGGTTTCATAGGAAACTCAGCAAAGCAAAGAGGTGTGTTTATGATTTTTATTTGAAAACATCCAACTTTTTGCACTGTCTTGTCCACTGATCTTAGTGGAATCTGATAGCTGTTGTCAAGTATGGTGATGTTTAGATAAACTATTGTTGTAAACGTGGAATTTGGACTTGGAAGAAATGCGTTCCATTTATATGAAATTATGAATTTTTTATTTTAGAAAATCCACATTTGGTGACTCTATTCGTTCTGGAATATATCTGTTTTGATAATTGCAGCTATTAGCTGTTCAGATGTTTCATACTGAAATATTGCCATAATCGTTTTTCACTTCTAATGTCCTGCATAAAATATGCTATAACCCTTGGTTTGGTAAGGTCCTGTACACATCCATAGAAATGCATTTGAGGGATATCTATGTATGCGTGACACTGAACAAAGATTCAACAACACTTGACCGAAATACTTCACAAACCTAGAGGGCGCTAAGAGCAAACCTAAACTACTCAATTTCAACAAAAAATGTCATTATTACAGCTTTATAGAAAAGAAATTCCTCAAAACGCTAACCCTGTGGATTTTTGCTGCTAAAATGATTTCTGCACCCGGGAAAGTGAGTTCAGTGAATCCAACACCTTAGTTTTGTTCAGTCTTCCAACGATCTTTCCAAGGAAGAAAGAACAGCTGGGCGAAAGCCTGTGGTTGCTGCACCGTGCCTAACTTCTCCCAGCCAACTCTGTCTTCTTTACTACCTGTTCGGATAACAAAGTTTCTGACCAGAAAATGGGGCTGGACGCTCCAATTTTTTGTTTGCTGGAACGGCAACTTGGCTGTAATTTCCAGCAGCTAGGAAACATGCTAGGAAGATGGGAAAACAATAGATTAAAAGTTCAAAAACACAAAGTAAAGATTAAACAAAAAACAACAACAAAAAACCTTTTATCCCACCTCTTGGGGTTGGCAACATCAATCTTTTTTCTACATTGTGCTCTTTAAAGAGTCAAATTTACATTTAAATCTAATAAAAAAAATCATTTCTAATACTTTCTTTCTAATTCTTTTTAGGTCTACTGTGGGCTCCGAAAATTCGGCCCCGGCCTCCCTGCCGCGCTGACTGTTTGCTTTTTTCTTTTATCCGCGAAGGGAGTTTTAACTGATTAAGTTCCGGGGTAAATTTTGGAAGGCAGATGAATTTGTAGATAAGACACTATCCAGAGATTTCGCCCTCATTTGGTGAGGACTTTATGATCTGAGTTCTGGTTTCCTATAGGCACAAGCCCCTATAATTAATTACCCCTGCCGATCACGAGAGAGAACTTTCGATTAAGGCTAGTCGTCAATCAGATACGTAGAGTATATGTATTATCTAGCATATAGTAGCAGCAATAGGTTTGGATTTGCGAATTGAGATAGTTGGAGAATTTGGAAAGTTGGGAGATTTGATATTTAAAATGGAAATTTCACCATCTAGCACTAAAAGCGGATGGTGGGGGAATGGATGATAGACCCGATCAAGATCCCATGGTTCCGTCGTCCCGAGCCACCATGGTCCCTGGTCTACTTAGTCAGAGGAGGTAGTCGACCCAACCTGACAGAAGGATCATTGTCGGCAGCCATGGGTTGCTTCGTCCAAGGGGACCTTGTAGACCTGGTTTGGATGTGTCTAAGGGGACAAGTTTGAATTCACCTTAGCAAACAGAGGGCTTTGTGCCCTATCAATCATATCCTATTGATTCATATCTCAAGGATTTTATGTCAATAAGGAACGTATTGGCGCTGGCCATAACCGGTATTTCGTGGTGTCATTTGGCGGCAAAACCACTCGGTTCAGAGGGCCCCGGGTCATAACCGTTTATATTGCGGTGCCATTTGGCGGCGAAACCGCCGGTTAGAGGACACGTACCACGTCCTTACTGGCAGGAGCTTGTTTGAGAATAGATCCTAATAATATTCTCGACTAGGCATTTGGCTCTTTGTGAGCTGTAGTATTTTAAATTTGTCCACCCCGGTAAACTGTTGCGGATGGTGGATGGATTTTGCTTTAAGTATTGATTGATAGATTTCAGTTTTAAATATCTTTGGAATTTTGGATTTTGAGATTTTGTGGATTTTTTTTAGGGTATTTGAGTGGAATTTGGAAGGCATTTGAAAATATTTGGAATGGACCCCTCCGGTTGAGATAATCATTCAACACGGGCATCATCGGGGTGTTCGGGGTCATTTCTTTTTTATTGATTGAATATTGTTGATTCTAACGAATTATCGATTGAGGATCAGATTTCGTATGTTTTATACCCTTATTAGTGAATTCATATTGCTATAGACCTTTGAAGGCCTAATATAAATGTATTAAAAAAAAATATACCGGTCATCATCACCGTATACTTGTTTGATTGTTCGAACCCTCTCGACTTCTATTGACTCGTATAGAAGGATCAGGTTCGAACTTGAATTCACTTATTGACCCGTGCAACATCCCTAGACGTAACATGTGTACCAATAACACGCTCGCCGAGACCCATGCGGGTGTTTGGGGGCATTTTATAATTAAACCCCGTCGACTCCTTTTTACCTGTTAAGGAGGATCGGGTTTAAATTTAATAACCTGCGCAGCATCCCTAGAAGTGACGTGTGTACCAATAACATGCTCGTCGGGGCTCACGCTGATTCTTGATTGCTTTTACCCCTTTTTAGTGTACTTATGTGTATACAAATTACAGTGCACGTGCATGAATATTTTGAAATATTTCAGTTGTGCATGTAATTGCTATTTGAATGCATACAATATTTCATTTAAGAGTTTATATACGCCTTCTGTCCTCTAGTACGAGTGTTGCGGATCCGGTGGTGTGGCCTTGCAGATAACATGTGACATGTATACGAATCTTCTACAATCGCTTGCAAGTGTTGCAAGTGCTTGAATTTTCTACGCATCAACCTCCTTGTTTGTAGAGAATACATGTCTTCTACGTGGCAAGTATTCTACAACAACTTGTAGTGGTTGTACTTGACTCGGATCGACCACCTTTCACTTGTAAGGGATCAGTGTATCCTTCCTCAAGGGGATTGATCTTAATTGTCAGGGTGTTGTTGCATTCATTGCTGAGGTTCAAGTCTCTTGCTAGTAGCAATTTTCATTTGATGACAGACCTCTATATCTCTTTATGGACGATACTTTGTGTATATAATAGATCTTCTATGTGTGGGCTCCGAAAATTCGGCCCCGGCCTCCACTCGCTTTTCTTATTCGGCGAGGGAGTTTTAATGAACTAAGTTCCGAGGTAAATTTTAGAAGGCAGATGGGTTTGTAGATAAGACACTACCCAGAGATTTCGCCCTTATTTTGTGAGGACTTTATGATCTGTGTTCTGGTTTCCTATAGGCGCAAGCCCCTATAGTTAATTACCCCTCCCGATAACGAGAGAGAACTTTCGATTAAGGCTAGTCGTCAATCAGATACGTATAGAGATACGTGTTATTTGGCATACAGTAGCAGCATATGGTTTAGGATACTGGTAGAAATTGGATTTGGAAATTGGGTTTTGATTTGGGTATTTGAGAACTGGATTTGGATTTGGAAATTTGGAGAGTTTGATATTTGGAAAGATTTAATATTTAAAAATAGGAAATTTCACCACCTAGCACTTAAAGCGGATGGTGGGGGAATGGATGATGGACCCGATCAAGATCCCATGGTTCCGTCATCCCGGGCCATCGTGGTCCCTGGTCTACTTAGTCAGAGGAGGTAGTCGACCCAACCTGCAGAAGGATCCTTGTCAGCAGCCATGGGTTGCTTCGTCCAAGGGAACCTTATAGACCGGGGTTGAATGTTTGTCTAAGGGGACAAATTTAAATCCACCTTAGCTAACAGAGGGCTTTGTGCCCTATCAATCATATCCTATTGATTCATATCTCAAGGATTTAACGCCATTAAGGAACGTATTGGCTCTGGCCATAACCGCTATCTGTGGTGCCATTTGGCGGCAAAACCACTCGGTTCAGAGGGCCCCGAGTCATAACCGTTTACTTCGTGCCATTGTTTGTAATTTTTTTTGATTTCAGGCCTTGAATGTCGAATATGAAATGTATTGGACAACAATACATCGGTCCCCACAACGTGTATCTATTTGATAGTTCGAACCCTGTCGACTCCTATTAATCGTATAGAAAGGATCGGGTTCTGTAGGCTTCAAATGCTTTTGTTTGTGAATTTTCTTTGATTAAAGGCCTTAAAGGCGAATATGAATGTTGTAGACGCCTTCTGTCTGTTTGTTTCAGTGTTCAGATCCGGTGGGTGGTGCGGTCTTGATATAATCTCCCCTTTTCTCATTCACCGGGGAGGAATTTTTGGATTTTGGAGTCAAAGACTGCTTGATTTGGAAAGAACTACTCTCAGGATCTTTGGCATAGTGGACTTGCTATTTTCTGGTGTTTATGGCATCCGGATTGCTTTTTTCTTCTAAAATTAATAGAACCAAAAAGAGGCTTTAAAACACCAGAGAGTTTGGTTTTAATTGTTCAAACATTTCCTCCCTTCTGCCAAGGGAGTGTACTTTTCGTACATCGGGCTGCCCTTTGTACACGGTGTACTTGGAAATTTTTGATCACCGCGTCGTAGGTGATATCTATACTTGTGCCACAGTGGTGTCTATGCTTACGACGTACACATTGTTGTTATCCACCTATGTGCACCGACACTTCGTTTTAAGAGGCAATGCAGTGTCGGACCGGACACGCATCGACACGGACGGACACGTGTCCGACACTGCACGGTGTGTCCGACACGGCACGGGTGTGTCCGACACGGCACGGTGTGTGCGGACTAAAAAAAATAAAACTTAGAGCCGGACGCGTGTCTGGTTATTTCATATTTATAAAATAAAAAAAACGGCACAGACACAAAAAGTAGCCCTAATTTGTGCGTTTCATTCTATCTGAGCGAGAGAGAGGAGTCGGCTATGCCGTCAGTGAGGACTCCGTCCCAGCTACCCGATCGAAGAGAGGAAGTTGCCAGTCCCGAGCGAGAGAGATCGCC